AGTACAATGCCATCCAATTGCAAAAAGAAATGAATGAACTTGAGAGGAAAGAGAGGGAAAGAAGAAGAAGAAGAAGTAAGAAAGAAGAAGATGATGATGTACTCCAGCATAGACCAATGTCAAGGCTCTTCTTCTTCGCCAACCAATCTCTTCCTCCTTATCTCCTCCCTCTTATTCAAACAAGAAATAACAATAATAATGTTGAATGACTGAACCAGAATCCATGTCCGAATCCCACTTCTACTGCAGGCACAACATGAGGTCCACCATACCCATGGCAACCCTTCCTCTTTCTCTACATACAGGCCGAGGCTATGGTGGACTTCTGAGGCTTCGGCCTCCTGTCCAAAGGACCACTCAAAGCAGCTATGCCGCTGCTCCACTTCAAGGTCATCACCATGCAGCTATGCCGCTGCCCACTCATCCACCATGCCTGACTCTGTCCCGAGCTTCCTTGATGCGGCACTACCCCCACTGGGGCCTTCCTGATGCAGCGCCTAGCAAGGAGATGAAGATGATGTCTACCATAGCCAGTAAGTGCCTCGCCACTCTCCTCCTTGGTCCCCTTCTCCCTCCTCCTCCTACCGGTAGATCTCCACCATAGCCAAGGTGGAAGCTCCCTGCTTCTTCCTCCCTGCAGCGCTGTAGTGCCCAGCACTACTCCAGCCAGCGCTCCAGCAGCGTGTCGCCAAACTTGCACACTGAAGAATGAGGCTGGGCTCTCCGCCCTGCCTCTTGATATAGCGGCCTACTTGCCTCCTGGGCGGTGACTTCCAGGCCGCTCGGCCTCTCCAAGCAACCGGTACCTCCTCCGTTTCGGAGGGAAACATCATTGCAGACCCTGATATTACCCGTACAGGCTCTAGGCTCAGACTGGTTGGACTGGTACCGGCCTAGACCTACCCTATCTCGGCGTCCAAAATGCCATCTCGCCGTGGGTACAGCCACAATTTTGAGTGCAGTATCGGCCGAGCAGAAAAAGACAAGGCTGGTACCGGCCTAGACCTACTCTAAAAATCCCAACTTTGTCTTTTTCTGCTCGGCCTCCAGTACCCCCTCACGCCAACTGCAGTGGGGTGCAGTATCGGCCTACCGGCCTACTTGAGTGTTTTTCTGCTACCCCAAGGGCCGCGGGGCCGCTAGCTTCGCCACTTGAGTGTTTTTCCCTGCTACAACCCTCAATGCCACGGCCACAGGTAAGTACCGGCCCTACGGGCCTACCAAACAAGCACGTACCCTTGCGGGTCACACACACTCATACCGACAAGCACTCAGWCAGGCACGCAGGTCACAAGCACGCACACACAGACAGACTTAGAAAACACAGCAGAATGCGGGAATCTCAGCAAGGCATCCATTCCATCGGCAGAACTTCAGAAATCAGCAGTGTTCTCAGTCTGTGTTTTGACGGGTCATTACAATGTGGAAATTGCAGCGTCTACATCTCTCCTGAAAAGCATCCAGATTCAGATGCTTACCATTCCTTGCTTCGAAGGGGACCTCGCCCTCTCTCTCTTTCTTTATCTCTCACTCTGTCCCCACAAGCATGTGGAGAGAGAGAGAGAGAGAGAGAGAGAGAGAGAGAGAGAGAGAGAGAGAGAGAGAGAGAGATGGGTGGGGTGGAGCTGAGGTTCCACGAGCAAAGAGGCTTGGATTAGGCGCCTGAATCTGTACATGTTTAATGCAGAAATGTGGAGGAGTTAAATTCAACCCTTTTTGCTAGTGGGTGAGTACCCCGGGTATGCCAGTTGATATCTCGGTGGGCCATTATGCCCGAACGGCCCCTGGGTATGAGGATAGTTTTGGCCTTAGGGTAGTTGGGTATAAGTGCAATTTTGGCCGGTCCACCTCGGTCGCGAGTATGGCCATAATTTGGCGTGGG